CCCCCTGGCTACGGGCATGCTAATATAGCCCGGGACATCGCGGGAGTTTCAACAGGAGCCGAAATGTTTCCTGATAATTGATTGGTTAATAAACGCCGCCATGGTGTTGTAATGTTCTTCACACAGTCATTGGTGGGTGTTGTACCGTAGAAAGACATTCAAGGTTTGAACGTACATCTTAAAGTTGAAAACAGGATTTTTGTAAGATTGTTACACAGCTGGACGGCTTAAAGGCAACAAATGCAGTTTCAAAGCAGAAAAACTGGAAATATTCGGAATAAGGCAATATGTATGATATTGACACATGCTTCCCCCACATTAGCACATTTGCATAAGCATTGCATGCATGTACTTTGGTCGTTTAGAACAAAACAAAAACAACCCCTAAGATTTTCTTTTTTTCTCGGTGCTACCAAAAATCAGCCCAGGACAGTAACAGTTTTCTATCACAATTTTCGGCATTTTCGCTCTATGAATGGCGATATACATATTAGTGTAGTATTGTTTGACCTTAATATGTAGATAAAGTGAATAGAATACTGACTTTGAAAAGTCAAGTCCTAAAACTACATTAGGTACCTTTAAAGTAAGATCTTGATGTTTTGTAAGCAAGGTTTCTATGGACAAAATTACTAAGATTTTGTAGACAGGCGGAATGGGACACTGTTGGTTTTTCTTGCGTGTATTTTACGATTGATTCACATTTTCAAAACCTGTTTGTCATGCAGTAAACCGTTTCCCCCTTTTTGTTACTTCAAATGCATATTCCTTAGCTCGCAGCACACAACAGATTCACCAAAATAAGACATATTATGCATGCAAAATGAGCTTAGCCGCATCATGATAAGATTAGATCCGTAATGCTCGTGACTTGATCTATATGGCGCCAAGATTGTACACAGTTGCTCTCTTTTGTTTTCTAAAGTGATTAATTATAACGTGAGTCAAAAACATCAGATAGTGTCGAATCCTATTACTCATATACAAAGGTACAAAACGGTGAGTGCCGGCACGATGTCTGCGTGGTTAAACACGTGGTGTGGTGTTCTTGTCTAAGGCCGTGTTTAAGTGAAATCACCCAAGGCGCTTTACATGTGGTTTACCCCGAAGCCGGTTTCAAGTGGCTCCATCTGAACGCTCCAAATCGCATTGAAAGCGCCTCGATCCCAAACCACTTCTAGAGGTGGTTTGGAATCGGTTTTCCCGCATCGCGATTTGCGTCTGAACGCAATGTGATTTCAATGTAACTTCGCCTGGTCATGGATTACGGGGTGATATTTCTTTATTTATATGCAATACCAACTTTTACGTGGCAGCAACTTAAGGAGCAGTAATGGTCAAATAATGTGTCCGTTCTAGGGCGAGCTTTACTGCCTCTGGTGGGACCACGTCGGCATTCGGCCGAGATACGCTGGGACTCAGTGGGAGGGGGGCACCAGCAAGCAGGTCGTTGACCTCTGCCATTAATAACACGCTACCTAGCGTGTTTTCATCAAACAACAAAAAATGTAGCTCAAGCGAATTGTGATCGGACACGGTTTCAAAGGATTGTGTGGCACGTGGACCAGATGTGAGGAATGTGAGTTACCCGAATCGCGGTTTGGGTGACTTAACTTAAACACGGCCTAAAGCCCCGTTCAGACGGAGACGCTGTAACAGCTTTCGATCCAGATTACACCGAAGCCGGATTCAATTGGCCCTATCTGAACACTTCAAATCGCATTGAAAGCGCCTCGATCCCAAACCACCTTGGGAGGTAGTTTTGAACCGGTTTCACCGGATCGCGATTTGCGTCTGAACGCAATGTGACTTCACCGGTTTGCTTTACATGTGGACCCGGTCATGAATTACGGGTTGATATTTCTTTATTTATATGCAATACCAAAATTTACGTTGCAGCAACTTAAAGAGCAGCAATGGTCGATTAATGTGTCCATTCTAGGACGAACTTAACCGCCTCTGGCGGGACCACGTCGGCATTCGGCCGAGATACGCTGGGAGGGGGGCACCAGCAAGCAGGTCGTTGACCTCTGACATTGATAACTCACTACCTTGCCCTATTCAGAAATTGCATTGGATGTATTCAACATTTGACCTGTGCTTAGCCCATACGGGCAAAAATGTACAATAAAGGCCTTCATTCATTCATTGAAGCAACTGTCACATGAGGTACGAGGCATGGACGCATACTTGAGGCACCATCCTTCAAGATGGCAGCCGCCAGACTTGTAGAATCAATTTTCGCCTGATCTCCCAGAGATAACGTTCACTCTGTTCTCTAGGAAATACGTCTTTGTTTCTGATTACATTAATCTCTTCAGTTCCAAAGGATGATAACCGCTAGATCAAAACACACACATACAAAAGCGCTGTAGGGTTATCTGTTATAGACAAAGAACACCTGTGGTTTTGCATAAGGAACAACATTGTGCCATACTGTGATTTGGCGACAAGCTGCTTTATTTTAGCATAATGCTTCTTTGCTATAATTTCTTTTGTCGACTTCCCCATGGTGCATTATTTACAGGAGAGAATAAGAGATACAATCTTGCTAGGAAACATATTCTAACAAAACAATAACTCTGAAAGTTTGTAACTTATTAGGGGAATAGAAGACTCACCATAAAAAGCACTAAAATTACAACTGTAACAAGATATAAGCGAACAATGCAAGTGTTTATCTTGATGGTTAATGTATTATCATATAGCCAGTAGTCGTCGACTAATCAGAAGGCTCCATTTCCCATGGGTTATCAGGTCGCAACCTCAAAAGTGGTCGGTTATCAGAATAACCGACCACTCGTTGGACCGTACCATTATACAGGGGACAGGACACCAACACAAGAGTTAAGACTTGTAATATTTACCTATTAACTATTGAAATCGTGTTGTAGTTTCTTTTGAATGATTTATTTGAAAATACAACTCACTTAAAAAGATATAAATGAAATTTAAACAGAAAGTTGATTTGCTTCCAAAGTGTATAAATCTGCTGCATAATTTATAGAAACATCCGGATATTATGCACGAACACGTATCTTGTTATTAGCACGATCCTTTTTATGACCAATACGTTTTCCTTCCATGTACCGCTTACGACAGTTACAAATAAATAAGTGTGTTGTGAAACCAGGTAACAATTAGGGTCCATGTATCCGTGACAGTTAATTCATCCTGCCGCTCGTATTACAAATCGGACTACTAACGGTAGCAATATTTCCCGATGACTAACGAGCTTCAGCGTGGATTGATAACGACATTCCAATCAGTACGACATAGCTGACCTATTTTTTAAACATAAATATCAATACTTTATATTAAAGAGGCATCGGGGTAAGTGGGGTACCTTATGTAAGACTTTTTGAAACAAGATACTTTATTCCTTTATTCGTGTACGTATTAGTTTGTGATCATAGTATTTATGTTCAATTTCCGTGGACTGCAATTTGTTATCTATTTGTTATTTATTGAATGCTTGTGTATTGTGGAAAATAAATAGAAATAGTATCAGTATTTTACCGACGTCATGACGCAAAAGTTACCAGGGTAAAGCGGTATACAGAAAATGCGAGAACAAGACGAGGGTAAATCTTAATTTAAGAATGTAATGTAATACATTTTGCATTTGAATGAATGAATGACTTTATTTCAGGTAATAACCCATAATACAAACATACATGTAAAACCACACAAAAATTACACATACAACAATTTGTACACATTTTTAAAATACGAATTTCTAAACTTACAGTCAGACCTCAATAGACAGCATATTATACTATTGTTGGTTGCGTAAGGTCTATTAATGAAGGAATAACACAATTTCCTGCGTCTAGCATCGAATGTATCGGTCGAGAGGTGTACAAACATTGAACTAGCACTACAACCTCTAGGCAACTTAAGGAGAATACGAAAGCAATTATTGTATGCAACACGACACGTAGCTAGTACACTCGCATGAAAAGAGTTCCATAACTGGACTCAAACAACTGAGCACAGTAGGTCATGAACAAAGTCTTTTTTACAACGAGAGAAGAATGATAGAATTTCCTATTTATACAATTGGTATGGCGATATAAGCGTCTAATGTCAACTCGAACACAGTCATTGTCACATAACTTCGCATTTAAATGAATGCCAAGATATACAAAAGAATCCACATTTATTTACTATATGCTTCTTTTTTTTTTAGAACTTACTCAGGGCACGACGGACTTTTGTGTATTTTAGTCCTGTACTCAGTTCCTTTTACTTGTTCTTTGTGACACGATATTGACGATCTATAGCTTGATTTCGCTTGTTTTCGCTCCCTTTTACTTGTTCTCGCATTTTCTATGCATTTTAGTTCTTTACTCAGTTCCTTTCACTCGCATTTTGCGACGCTCTACGATATCGACAATATATAGCTTCATTTCGCTCGTGTTCACCCCTTCTACTTGTTTTTGCATTTTATGTACACCCGAGTAAAGCTATACGAAGCTACACTTGCGAATCAACAGACTAAACATAGAAAAGAACGCTGTTTCTTGACAAATTGTCTGTCCTTCACTAAAAACCGATTAATCCGTAAATATCGTCGAAAATAAGCCGCAAACATTTTCTGTGCGCCCGAGTACAGGTTGCGAATCAACAGATTAGACATGGGAGGGGGGCGAAAATAATGAAGTTTCTTGACAAATTGTCTGTCCTTCACTCAAGATCAATGAACCCGAAAATATCGTCGTAAATAAGTCGTAAATATTTTCTGTGCACCTGAGTACAGGTATACGAAGCTACATTTGCGAATTAACGGACTAGACATGGAGGGGGGGGGGCGAAAATAACGAAGTTTCTTGACAAATTGTCTGTCCTTCACTCAAGATCGATGAATCCAAGGTCTGTCGCCTACAAGATAAATTGAGTGTTGCTCTCGGGCCAAACATGGATTTTCAGAGTTGACACGAGCGTCACAGAAAAATTCACCAATCATCAA